GATAAGTGGTTCCAGATGTTTTTGCCCATGGTTAAGAGATGCCAAGTTTTTTGGAAGATGTTCGCAGCAAAAACGCATTCTTCCGTACGTCGCATTTCTGTGTAATTTCGCATGTGGTGTTGCATTATGTCCGGGATGATGCACGTCTTTTTATTTTTACCGTAGCTGTTTTGATATTGGAGTAAATGGTTATTTTCGAAACATCCCCATGCCGTTGAAATGTTGTCGTCCGTTTATGTCACCGGTAGTAAGTCGCGGCGGGGCTGATGGTCAACATTAGGAAATGTTAATACCGATAACGTAATCCTATCGATTTCAAACTGGTCGGGTGTGGCGACCTAGTGGCGGCGTGTATTTAGTCACGTAGCAACTGGCCGGTCGTCCTAGCAACGATACATGGCCAATATATTTGGGTTGGGCCGCTCCATAGTGTTAGTGGAGCAGCTCTTTGTAAACATGGACAATATTTTTGAGCAACCAATCAATGTGTTCTGCCTCGTGGTCAGATGTGGTCTGGGGCTGGTAAACCGCACATACAGTACTAGTAGATCGGGTAATTTTATGATTTGCTAGTTGTAAAGGCGTCGTGTAGTATGAGCCGGTATATGAAGAAGTAGCCTGTGTTACACAATCATGCTTTCGGCCGGATTGATGTGCAACTGTTACTAATTGCAGGGACTGCGCTAATGCCGACCAGTCGCGCTGTCCTGATACACCGCGAATGTGCGAGTGTTCCCTGTAGACAGTCCCGGGAGTCATTTTTTTCGCACATTCCAGGAGCCAAACCAAAATACGTTCATGAACCGAGTCCAAAAAACCGAAACGTGAAAATCGGATGATCGGACCTGATGTACATTTCTCTTTCTGTAGATGGTACACACAATACACACATCTTTAGATAATCTGGCCATGGCAGGTAAAAAAAAGTAACCCTGAATCATACTAGATTAGCGTAAATGCATGTTTATGCGTTCAAAACAAGAAAAGGATTTGTTTCTCGGTATTAATCTCTTGAAATACAGCGCTGAATATTGACGCAAAAATATTTCGGGCATCGCGCGCCCTTCCCCAAATCCCGCGTCACGTGTCGGCATTTCGCATCTCTGATTGGTTGTTGCGACTTAAGATGACTGAGCCGACGCACAATTTTTCTTTGTTCGATTTATTTTCTTCACAGAGAATTGTCGCCAATGGCTACTTCTTTTTGTTGCAATATATAATACTTCACGGAGAATTGTCGCCTATGGCTTCTTGTTTCTTTTGTTTCACACAGTTATTCCGGGAGACCTACCCGGATGGAAAAGACTACATCATCCACTCATTTGAGCTGGACGCGAGGCTGGCTCCCTACTTTGCGTCCTACTCCAACCACGTCCTCCACTGTCCAGTCGCCGTGGGCGGGAAAGATGGTCAGTTATGGTACTTCTCTTCAGATCTAGTCTGGATTGTTTTTTTTACTTAGTTGTCGCCACGTAACACGGCCATTAGGCCACTTCAAGGTTGGTTAACTACCTGAATGGTATCACCTGAGTGGTATTACCACTCACCTGGGTTACGGGTTACCGAGTAGAACTATAACAGCAACTCTTCTCCCTGAGTCAGAAACATCATGATTGAGACCAGCCCAATTTCTCACAAGTAGTGAGGACTACTAACTGGCCCAATAGGAGAAGCAGGGGTTACGAGGCTGGTCGGGAAAATTCCCTATCCCATTTTTAGATCATAATGGTTTGTTCCACTACCACTCACGTGGGTTCTTTAACGTGCTTGACGGTGTGTCTCTCTTCAAACACGGGACCATTTAACGTCCCATCCGATAAGACGCCCCTAACCGAAGCTAGGTACTCGGGATTGATGCGCATGCGTGAAGAGAGAGTGGACGTGCTTCGAACTGCTCCCGCACAACCGACCTTACTTCGGGTGTTTTTAAACTGTCTTAACTTGAGTTTAGTTTTTAGGAAGGATCTTTTAGATGAGGGATGCTAAATGTATTTTTTTTACGAAGTTTTAGATAGTATATAGGGCTCCTTTTTAGCTCGTAGATCGAGTTTTTGCCAGAGCACGAGGTATCCTAGGCGGCGCCATATTGTTTTTTTCGTCACCTCCCTGGAAGGAAGTGCCATTTTGGCTTAGTTTCTAGTCTTTTCACCTCAGTCCGCGGTTTATCGCTAGCAACTCTTGGACCTTGTTTAGTCTATGTCTTTTTAGGATTCTGGAAATTTTTATTGACGAAGTTAGGAAAAGCGGCACCTCGCTAGAACTTGAACGGACCGAGCGTGTGAGTTGGGGTGTTATTCCCGCGTTTCCCCGGGCAGGAAAAGCCCTAAGGACGTAACAGAGCCAGGAGGGGCAGCCAGGGCAGGGATTTTGACGGGCCTGGGGCTGGAGGCAGGATGCCGACGACCAGAAACCAGGGGAAGAGGGCACAGCGCAGTACAGGACCGGATGGCGCTAGCCAACAGCCTACAGTACAACAAGGGGGGAAAAGCCAACCACAGAGATCTCAAGAGGTTGCGAAGCAAACAAAGGCAACTACGAGCGGGAAAGTAAAAGATACCACTCGTACGAGTACAGGTACAAGTGGGAAACAGGGCATAGCAGGGGCACATGGCCAAGCTACAAGACGAGGTAAGCAGGATTCCATATCTGATGGCAGTACAGCCGAAGAATGCAGTGACAGTTGTTATTGTGGGAGTTCTCACTACGAGGGAGGGCAGTGGATTTACTGTCATAACTGTGGATCATGGTGGCACAGTTCATGTGCCAGACTAGCCGACATTTATACTTGTACTTTCCTAGCAACCAAGGAACTGGATTTCATTTGTGCAGCTTGTGTCGTCCATGGTTTAAAATCCTGGGAGGGGAGCACGGATAATAGAAGAGGGCCCAACATTGACATATTGGCATCAGTAACTGAATCATTGCGGGATGTTACCAGGAAATTAGACGAGCTTATGGGCAGCAATCCTACTGTTGAAACTACAGCAACGGATACGAGTGCGGAGCTTATAGAGATTAAAACTGCAGCCACACTATCAGTTACCAATGACAATGATTCGGACCAAACCCAGGTTAAAATAAACAAGGATGTCACCAGCGTAAGCATAGAGCATGACCCATGTCTCAGTAGAGGACTACATTGAATCCATACGTAGAAAGAGTAATGTGATTCTCCACAACGTACCTGAGCATACGGGTTTAGATCAGCAGGGTAAAGCTAGCCATGACATAGAATTCACACGCAATGTGGCCAGTGAACTTGGACTGGAAAACATTGGCATTAAGAAGACAACCAGGCTAGGCAAACGTCTCCCTGACAAGAATCGACTTCTGCTAGTAACCCTCACTGACACATCGGACAGATACCATCTGTTAAAGGAGGCCAAATGTCTTAATCACAGCAGTAACTTTTCTAACATATTCATAGCACCGGATTTAACAAGAAGGGAGAGAGAAATTAGTCGCCAGCAGAGAGAAGTAAGACGTCAAAGTCAATGTAGTCACATGGGGGAAAGAGACAAGCAGCATTTCTGACGAGGACAGGCCAAAGTACACACATGAGGGAAGAGACTCGGCAGGGGGTAGAACTGGTACGCTAAAGGTCTTATACACCAATACAGATCAATTTCCAAACAAGAGAGAAGAACTGAGGTTCAGGATTGCTAGCGATCCGGTGGATCTGATCGTCCTGACCGAAGTTATCCCCAAGGCGCAGGTGAACCCACTAAGAATGTGCACGTTGGACATGGAAGGCTATGAGGCCTTCCTGAACTTTGACCCCGACGAGAGCAACCTTGGTAGGAGCGGTACAAGGGGAATCACCATTTTTGTTCGGAAGTCACTAAACTTAAATGTGCAGCAACTGGATTACAGCGACGTTGGGTTTCAAGAACATTTGTTTCTGAAATGTGAAACGGGGAAGAAAGACTCACTTATAGTGGGATGTGTGTACCGTAGCCCGTCCTCAGATCCGGTAGCTAGTACAACCAAACTATGTGAACTTCTATCCACAGTGTATAGCGAGAGAGCCGAGCACATAGTGGTCATGGGGGACTGTAACCTGAGAGAAATAGACTGGAAGTCTAGGTTAGCAACAGCAGGCTCCAGCCATCACTGTCAACTCCTTCTCGACTGCTTGGATGATAATTTCTTAACTCAGCATGTATGCGAGCCTACTCGTTACCGGGTGAATCAAACTCCATCCGTACTGGACTTGGTAATCACAAATGAAGAACTCACAGTCGGGGAAGTGAAGTACCAACCTGGTCTGGGAAAGGGGGATCACTGCTGTTTGTTGTTTGACATCAACTGTGGGGCAGACGCCTCACCTGTCACAGTAGCAAGACGCAACTACAACAAGGGGAACTATCAGAAGGCAAGGGAAGACCTTGGGGCTACTGACTGGGACGCTGAGCTGAATCACTTGGAAGTACCCGAAGCATGGGCGAAGTTCTGTGAGATCCTTGAAGGGGTCACTAATGAATGCATCCCAATGGCTAAAGCAGTCCAGAAACCAAACAAACTTTACATGAGCAAGCATGCAATGTTGTTAGTAAAGAGGGAAAAAAGAGCATGGTCTAGATGGAAAGCTTCGGGTAGTCTTGGCGATTTTAGAAAGTTTGCAAGCATCAGGAATGACCTTAGGAGTCTAACAAGACAGTTATGCAAGGATTATGAGCACAGACTGGTCAAGGACCTCAAAAACAACCCCAAAGCATTTTGGAAGTATGCCAAGTCTCGCCTCAGTACAAGGCCGAAGATTGGTAGTCTAGTTAAACCTGATGGGTCTATGGCCTTATTGGAACAGGATAAGACAGAGGTTCTCAACGACTTCTTCGCCAGTGTCTTCACAAATGAGGACACTGTTAACATCCCTAGTATGCCGGCGAGAGCAGTAAACTCCATGTTGGAAGGGCTGGACATAAATGAAGAGACTGTGGGAGGGAAATTAACCGAGTTAAATCCGACAAAGTCAGCAGGACCAGATGGTCTACACCCTAGGCTCCTTAAGGAACTAGCACAAGTCCTGGCATACCCTTTAGCAGTCATTTTCAGGAAATCATTGGACAGTGGTCTACTGCCAGAGGACTGGAAAGTGGCGCATATAACCCCCATTCACAAGAAGGGCAGCAGACAAGAGCCGGGGAACTACAGGCCCGTGAGTCTGACTTCTGTTGTAGTGAAAGTACTGGAGTCCATCATTAGGGATGCACTGGTTGAACACCTCACGGTCATGGATAACAGTCTACTCACAGACTCCCAGCACGGCTTTGTCCCAAGAAGGTCATGTACTACGCAGTTACTCGTGGTCATGAATGACTGGTCACAGTACCTAGAGAGGGGGGAACCCGTGGACAGTGTCTACTTGGACTTTAAAAAAGCTTTCGACTCAGTCCCTCATGAGAGGTTGTTGGTGAAACTCCAAGCGTATGGGGTGAGGGGGAACATCCTCATGTGGATGAGGAGCTTCCTCAAGGCCAGGAAACAGCGGGTGGTGATAAACGGAGTGCAGTCCACGTGGCGAGACGTTGGCAGTGGTATCCCCCAGGGGAGCGTTCTCGGCCCCACCTTGTTCGTGATTTTCATCAACGACCTTCCTGACGTTGTGAGCAGTTCAGTGAAAATCTTTGCTGATGACAGCAAGATCTACAGGCCCATTTGCTCGCAGGATGACCAGGAGGCCCTACAGCATGACCTTCAAGCAGTAGAGAACTGGTCAGCAGTGTGGCAACTACCTTTTAATGCAGGGAAGTGCAAAGTTCTACACCTTGGGAGAGGGAATCAAAGAGCCGACTACCGTCTGGGGGGCCAAGTATTGCAACACACTGAAGTGGAAAAAGACTTGGGGGTGCAAGTGGACGAGCATTTAAGTTTCCATGTCAACACTGCTGAGGCAACCCAGAAGGCCAATCAAGTGCTTGGTCTAGTCAAGAGAACATTCTCCAACCTGGACGAAGTAACCGTGCCGCTGCTGTACAAGTCCATGGTGAGGCCACACCTGGAATACGCTAACACAGTCTGGGGTCCACACTTCAAGGGGGATCAGAAGCTAGTGGAGAAGGTGCAGCATAGGGCCACCAAGTTGGTGCCTTCACTTAGAACACTCCCATATAGTGAGAGGCTTAAGAAGCTGAAGCTTCCATCACTCAAGTTCAGAAGAGACAGGGGAGATATGATACAGGTTTACAAGTTTCTCACAGGGAAGGAGAGAGTAGATCCCGAGCTTTTCTTCCACCTTGGTAACCAGCAAGTAACTAGAGGCCACTGTTACAAGCTGGCTGTGACCCTGGCCAAGTCCACAGTTAGGCGGAATTCCTTTAGTGTCAGGACAGTAAACAAGTGGAACTCCTTGTCAGAGGTTGTTGTAGAGGCAGAGTCTGTAAATGCCTTCAAGTCAAGGTTGGACATGTGTTGGGAGGAAAGGAAGTACCTGGAATGACAAGAGGGTGGCACAACAGGCGACGCCTTCAGCCACCAGTTCATCCTCAAGGTATCCTCAAGGTATTTTCACCCGAAGTAAGGAAAGTCGTGTAAAGTACCTTTCCCAAGGTACAACGTCGGGGCGCATGTTCGGACTTGTTCGGGTACGACCCGGAATCGAACCCGGGTCTCCCCGTTTCATAGTCCAGTGATCTACCACTACACCACACGACGCCACATAAATTGCATTAACCTTCTTCCAACTGATTGAACATTTACCAAGAGCTAGCCTAAGGATACATGTACTTCAGTAAGATGAAGGCTCACTGCAGAAACCACCTTTTGTCCTGATTCTTTTACAGTACTTGAATTTAGCTTTTACCCAAAGCCTTCCATCCATTCCAATTAGTAACAAGTAAAATCTGAGATTTTATACCTCCGGGCTTTTTATTGTATATTTTTATATGTTGTTTGTTATGTATAGTTGATGGTGTTGAATTTTGTGCACAACAACAAGTGTTGCGCGCCACAGGACTAGGGTTTTAAACAAAGAATTTATCGAGACCGGACACCCCTCTTTGCGAGGGGTCATATACGTGGACCAGACTGAAAATAGCTTAAACACGCCAAAGGTCAACGGTCGCGACCATTTTCACGCTCAAAGGGGTGTTCTGGGGCCATCAAAAGATAATATTTTCACGCCCGAAAACACATATACAATAAAAACAAAAGAACGTGCATTATCTGCAGCCCAATAGCAAAACATATACCGAGTCTCAAAAGAATCCGTACACCCAAACGCGAGAAACAGCTGCGAACATGAAAATCTAAATCTCTCACAAAACCCTTCCGCGGAAGGATGTCTCCTCCCCCGGAGGTAATTAATATATAACTCCACTTTTAGCATATTGCTGGCCTTTGTAACCAGTTACAATATGTTATCTTTATTTCAGGTCTTGTATCTGTAGTAGATTTCTTTATTTGATGTTTGTCTCCGCGTTTGTATTTGTTGGTTATCTGACACCAGTCACCACAGCCTTGATAACCTGTGTACTGATCTGTTGTCGTTGCAAAGAAGGAAAGAAAGAAAGAAAGAAAGAAAGAAAGAAAAGAAGGAAAGAAAGAAAGAGAAAGAAAGAAAGAAAAAAGAAAAAAAGAACGCTTAACCAAAGATTTCACATTTAGATGACTCTAATTTTCTCAACCCCTGTTTCAAAATGATGACTTACCTCATTTCTCTATATTTCATCAGCCTAGACACACAATATTGAATCTTTATTTGCATGTTCATGATGCCCATTGGGCTAAATGCATACATTAGGGTATAATGATACACGTACAGTGTACTCAGATAATACTGAGTAACATCAAGTACATATGATACAAGGATAAAAGAGTAATTAAGAGTATTAGGAACTACTAGAAAGTGCATTCTATCTAACCTAGGTCTTAAAGACTTCTTCTCTCTTTTTAAAGCATGTGGAGATGAATTCACACAGTTGTTCTATTATTATGTGGTCATATAGGATAGGAAGAAGGTGAACATGTGCTCCATACGCATCCATAAACATTACATAAATTTATGTGGGATTGCAAATTCATCACATATTATACTATTAGAATATTGAAAAGTTTATTGCAAATTCGTGCCCGGAGGTTAATTGCAAATTACAAAACATACAAGAACAATGAAATAGAGTATAAAATAAGTAAAGTCTACATGATATTATATTAAGTCAATATTATCATATAGCCATAGCCGGGTGACGTTGACCAATCAGAAGGCTCGATTCCACATTCCTATGACGCCGTAGTGTCACAAATAGAGTCAAAACAGGTCATTCATCCCATGCCCAATCAATACTTTAACAATCCAATAATCACCCTTCAATTGACCTTGGGTGACCCAAATAGAACACGACTCTGTTCCAAAAATAACTTTTGTTCCAATGACCTCGGGTGACTCCCAAAAGGAACACGTGTTCCCTGCCGATGACCCAAATAGAACACGACCCTGCTCCAGCTAGTGACCTCAGGTGACTCCATATGAAACACATGTTCTATTTAAGTTAGTATTTGTTATACAGGAATGTGTCACTCTTTACTGTGTAAGTCTTGATAGGCTATATGATAAAAGTGTTAATGGCCCGCTGCGCTCACTCGGTGGCTTTATTCGGTGGTTAAAGCAACTGACAAGGCTTTACCACACCATATTCACCGAGAAAGGGCGGGCCATTAACCCTTAACTAATAGACTCACCAAAACACCCAAATATACGTATTTTCTAATCAGGAAACATCACGGCCTACGCTGAGTCCGCCTGGAAACCTGACAAAGGTAAAGTCGCCGGCCAAGACATGCAGTGGGGAGGCGGAGCGATCTATGCATCGGACGCAGAGAAGCGGGATGAAATTCACGGCCGACGATTCGGTGTGAAAAATGTGATACCAATGGTGGATCTCTCCAAGTGGATACAAGAAAACACCGGTAAGTTTGAAATGATATCTTCATGTCAATCATATTCAATAAACAATATATGTAGAGCTACGAATGTGAAACCTTTCCCGGGTTTCCTTTCCTTCAGTAAAACGGATAAAGATATTGGAAATGAGACATGTTTTTTTTTTACAACTAGCATGGTCATGGGCTTGTAATACATTTAGTCATTGTCATTAGATCATACAAAATTGCTCCTTGAAGCCCCGAAAAGCCACCAAAACCATGGAATTTGATCATGATTTGTATCTCGGATACATACTAGTAATTTAGCCAAGCCAAGAATCTAGAATCTATCTTTAACAAGAAATCGGATTTCCTAAAACAATACCATCTACGTCAACAAACGTCATTTAATATTCGCCTAAACAAAAACAAGTAGGCCGTCGGTGAAGGTTAGACATCCAGGTAAAAAGATACGCCAAAATGTTGTTCTTGAGTTGCTGTTTTTTTACTCGACGTATGGTAATCGAATGGAGACTTTTGTATTTGTTTATTTCGTTAACTTAACTTTTATTTACTATGTGTTACAGTTTCTTTATGTTTAAATTGATATGAATAATTATTAATGGATTAGTTCTGGTATGAGTCTGTTTTTGTTCTTGTAAATCCTGTGCCATGCTTGCCATGCTTGCCATGTAAGTCAGCGTATTGTATTTTTCTTCTGAAAATCTAATAAAAATTACGTAGAAACTAGAAAGGCCAATATTTGCTTTGGAGCAAATACAGTGATGGGTTCACCACATTTTACGACATGGCAGGGAAAGAATGAGAAACACAAGGGAAAACAATGATTTACATTGATATAACTATAATATGAAGTAACATACAACTAAAACAACAGTTGGATAGCTATTCCCTACTTTATTGGTTAGGATTTTTAATTGCATAATGCAAACTGTTGATTTTCAAAATAAAAAACGTTCATGCCCCGCATTCCAATGCTGGAGCAGGAAAGCTTGAAATACCTACCAAAACACTTGAATACAGACATACTGTTAGTATGGAAATGCTCTGTGCAGGTGTTAATCAAGTTAAATCCCAACAGCCAATCAGCAAGAAATGCTCTGTGCAGGTGGAAATGCTCTGTGCAGGTGTTAATCAAGTTAAATCCCAACAGCCAATCAGCAAGAAGAATAGAGGAAAGCTGCATGCCTATTGGTTGATGCCCTGCATTCCATTGTGATGACTCATGCCCAAACGTGGTAAACACGGCACACTAACACAGTAATACATTTGCTATAACACAGCCAAAAAACTCAAATAAAACCATTCTAAAAGCCCGTATCACAAAAATTTCAAAAACGCCTAGGGGTATTTGCCCACTGTACCTCCATACCAAATTTCAGGACCTTAGGCCCTAAAATGAAGAAGCTGAATCCATTTAAAAAATGGCAGGAGAACGAGAAGAAGAAACACCAGAAAAAGCAATATGGGTTCACCACACACCACTTCGTGGTGTGGTGAACCCATAAAAAAGATACACCAAAACCAGTGTCACTGACGAAAGGTGGTGGATGCTACCTGACACGTCTGACCGTTTCCAAAATCATATCCAGTTGCTTGAGTAACTGCTTGTTGTCGTAAAAACGAGTGGCTTGGGTACAGACAATGTTGACTTTTGAGGAATAATGTAAAAATCCATCTGACATACATATGAATTCCATACTAAATTTTGGAGCCTTTCTCCTGTCCAGCGTTGGAAGACTATGTCATCTTTAAACTGGACGTCGAGGGAGCTGAGTACGAAATCCTGGAAAAGATGATTAAAGAAGGGACTTTCAAGTGGATAGACAAGTACGTGCATCGCTCTTCCATTTCACTCTCTATTTTGGATGGTTTAGTCTATCCTAGAAATTAAACTAGAGAGACGTTCTGACTTGCTTTATCTCAGCCGGAGATGAGCATTAGTACCATTGTTAATATAGCGTTCAAATTTATCAACCTTACAACTTCAACACGACATTGACATTGAATAATATGTAGCTACTCAAAAGTACCAGGGGGTGTAAAAACAATACGTATCCCAACATCTGCTTGAAAAAAAAACCTATTTATTAGCGCACACTCACAAAAGCAAACTAGATTTATGACCTGTTCCACAAGTCCATTAACAGAGAGTGTTTTCTGGAATATTACATGGCCTAAAAACTGCTACGATTAAAAAAGATTATCTTGCGCATATGCAAGCAGACAACATGAAAAACTAGAAACCAATGTAGGAAAGGTATATTGAGTTACATACAGCTGCAAACGTACGAACAAGCTTGATTTTAATACTCCACATCCTTTAGGGATGTAATAACACTAGTCACATATCCAGATGTTAATATATACCAAACGTTGCAGGTTTTATGGCGAGTTCCACGGCTGGACCCCTGTACCGGGCTGGTCAGCCCAAAGAAAACAAGAACTTAGGAACACCATGAAAACCCATAGCATCAATATGCTGGATTGGGCAGGAGAGCATAAAAGATACCAAGACATGGAAAGCATTCACAAGATTGACGTAAGTAAAGCGAGGGCACATATTCACGGTTTGGGTTTGAACCACAAATTCAACTAATTAGAAAAATGAGATACATGAAGAAAAGAAATTAGTATTGTAGTGTTTTACCCAGCAATGGAGGAGGAAGTAACCACTAAATTCATATTTCATATTCAATTAATATAACTATAAGATCCATCTGTTCAGCTGCCTTAAAACCAGAAGTTAAACCTGTATATATTGTAGGTGCCACTCGAACTCGAACATCGTTCATGGTAACTGTGCCTGGAACTGCTTTTATCACTATCAATCATTCTTCCCTTGTAAAGGAATAAATGCCAGAAAAAAAAGTCATTTTATTCTTTGTTTCCAGGTCCCAGCGGACACCCCCGGAGCTGCAGGAGTGGTCTACTCCAACTGTACCCCGCCTCCAGACGGCCCAGCCCGGCTGGCCCTGACAGTGCAGGTCGGGATGAACAGGAAGGCAGCCCACAAGCTGGTGGAGACGATCCGGGCGCACCCCAGCAACATGCCGGTCACTCTTTTCGTGTACGGGGACTTCGTGCAGGACTTCTCGGACCTCATCACCAAGTGGGCCGACAGATACACCATAGGAATACGTGAGGTGTGTTTTATTGTTTTCTTGTAAGTACAACAAGCACTCCCAGTTTTGACGTATCCAACTGCATTCTGAAGTAGAGGTTGGGACGCAGAACTTGGTTTTGGGAAGTGAGATTGCCAAAGACGCAACCAAACTAGGGAGATTTTGACACATTTCTACCCTGGAAAAATCTGAAATCTTAGTTCTCAAATTCTTCTATAAAAGCGCCATGCCCTGCATTTTGAGTGGTAGTTTTTGCTCTTAACGTCCATACCAGAATGCACGTTGTCCACAAACTTCTTTCTACCACCATTTTTTTAATGGAGACTCCACTATGTAGCAGTGAGGACCAATATATTGTGCATGTTTCATCACCCCCACAGTCCGGGCCCTTTCCAGCCGACCATTGGGTCCTGCAGAACCCGGACGTGATGCGGATGAGTTTGGTCTCGGCCGTACAGCGGATGAAGGAAGTGGGGCTGCGACCAGCCTACTACTATCCGGACGGCCTGTCGCAACGAGTTCAAGATACAGCGAAGAATAGAGGACTGCGGATCATTCAGCCAACAACCAAGTTTCCTCCTAACCTTGGTGAGTTGGAGCTAACTTAAAGGTTGGCTTTTTGATGAGAAATGCTACTGCCAGGTAGACAAAATTGCAAAATCGAAAATAGGGCCAAAACAGATATCGACATTTCAAACTTTTGTGAATTTCTTGTTTTATTCATTGTAAAATTCGCTGTAAGTTTTCCAACTGGCGCCCTGCCAACTGACGACTTGTTGTTTGTTCTCTACCAGATTCTGGGACCCCATTTCCTGTGTCTAACCTTTTTATGGTCCGTGGTGAGGTATTAACCGGTACCGCTCCCACGTGTGTCATTCAAATGCTTCTGGGTACAATAAATCACACACACATTCACACACACACACACACACACACACACACACACACACACACACACACACAGAGAGAGAGAGAGAGAGAGAGAAACAAACAAACAAGCAATATCCTCAACTTCGTTAAAACACTAGACGACTCCTTACATTTTTACTCCGTGAAGGAGGTCAGGACCTCCTGGCGGAGTGTTGTGATGGGCTGGATTTTCGTGTTTCCGCTATAACACGGGGTTCTCTCTGTGCAATCGGCATGAAATTTTATACGCCGTCTGCGGGCATGCCCGCGTTGATGCACAAATGTGTATTTTCGGCGTTGCTGTTTTCGCGGTCAATGTAATATTGCAAACGCACCCTTACAATTATGAGGCAAATTGGAATGGTCCCGAAAAACGCGTTGTTTGGAATAGCGGGGGGGGGGAGCGAACTTCAGGCAGATACGGGGAGGGGTCGATAAGTGGTACCAGATGTTTATTCCCCATGTTTAAGGGATGGGGCCGTTTGTAGAACATGTGGACAGTAAAAACGCATTGTTCCGTACGTGCTATTACTGTGTAATTTGGCATGTGGTGTGCCACTATGTCCGTGGTGATGCACGTCTTTTTATTTTCACCCTAGCAGTTTTGATATTGCAGTAAATGCTTATTTTTGAAACATCCCTACAAAGTTGAGATGTTTTCGCCCGGGTATCTGACCAGCGGTAGTAACACTCGCGGTGCTAGCTGCAACTGTTGCTGGATTATGACCTGTATGGCCAGTCACGCTTAATAAGTAACAGGCACGGTAAGACGGTGGGGCTGTCTTTGTTACTAGTGACACGATCATTTAATAGTAGTCCGATCTTTATGCGAATGCAATGATTGTGTGTGTGTAATCAAAATGAACTTCGAACTTGAAGCACAGTATCTTTACACGCCCTGAGAGCAGTAATGGATTTAGGTATTTTTGTGGTTGTGACGCGCCCTGATTGTATTGATTAACCGTTGCCTAATGTCTGCACAGTAGGTATGGCGTTGATGCTTGGGATTATTTCTGTTGTAATATATAAAACTTCACGGAGATTGTTGCCTATGGCTTCTTGTTTAAAAGTTATTTTTATATTTGATTACATCTGAAATCTAATTCCAGTCTTCTGTGTTTTCCCAGGAACACTGTTGAAGGAAGACAACTATTACAGGTACAGAGACGTGGAGAGGACGCCAAAGGCGCTCCGTATCCTGTATGAACGCATCTCGAAAGGAGGGATCCTCAGTCTGGACACTGATCATCCCGACAGCTACATGATCTCCGCTTTCCTCATGGACTATCTGTATGAAAACTCCGGCTTTCAACTTGTCAGTTTGAACGACTGTTTGAAATAATTTGTTTAAAAATGTTCGCTACAAACTTTCTGTAAACTATGATATTCAAATACAGTTATGTTCTTTTCTATTGACTACATTTTTTGATGTGATTCTGTTTGTGATTCTGTATAACAGCACTTATAATCGTAAAACAAAGTTATAATTAGACCGACATGAGTCGCGACTAGAGCATGCGAGAAGTTTTAAGTTCTCGTAGGCAGAAGGAATGTTCTGTATAACCAAGGACGTTTTTGTTATTATTACAGTACTGACGCAAAATTGGAAAATTTCATAAACAAATTGATGCTACTCGAAGTACAAAATTTGAAAATGTAAATAGCTTACAAAGGGCTACTGGAGTGAGCGAGTAAGCGAGTGAGTGAATCACAAAGAAAACATATTGCAGCACTGTTGGAAAAATGAAAGCAGCAGCTTAACGTAATTACAACTGTTTATCAAACGTCATTGTGTGTAATATAAATTGTAAATTTTTCATTGATGAGTTAAGACGACCATGACGAGAGATCATAGAAAGTTTTTTTTTTAAACAGCATATACTGTTGTACCATAAAATAAGTATGTTTGTGGTCTCGCCTTGAAAACATGAATTGAAACATGCATGCCAGGTCAAAGTTTGTAAACAGCGACTAGGGAAGTAATTCATACAGACTCATCGTTGCTCTCTTCTTTATTTCTCTCTTGTCTAGTTTTGACAAGGTGTAAAGAACAATCAAAATGAAAATCAAGACATGAAATTCAAACAGACATTAAGCGCACAAATAAACGAAGTTGAGGATCTCATGCCTCCATGGAATATAGTTTTGATAAATGTTTTTTTTTCTATTATTATGGATTACTCACTGATTCTGTCTATGCATTTCCCATTGGCTACCATAAGGTAATAATCAATCCATCAATGGTTATAGTCACATAAACAAGAACTATGCAGCCTGAATAAGAATTACTTTTTGTTGTACATCGACATTCATTAGCATTTACACAAATGTCAACATCAGTATATGGTTCACAAAGTCATCGACATGCTGCGTCTATGATGGATTGCCACTAAGAAGAACAAGTTTGGGATTCAGCATAGATAAAAAAGCATATTGCACATGCCCTTTACATATACAGGTGTTCATATTGTCCTATCATGGCTGTTCATGAGGAGAAATCAAGTATGGTATGCTATTCCATTTGTAACGCTCCGTTCTACATTTGACAAGGCTTAGATGGTTACTGGAGCGAGTGGTGCGCTCAGTGGTGGTGCCCCTCCTGTGGTGGTAGCCAGTGTCAGAGGTCCTAGTATGCGATCGGAGAACTTTTCTGGCGAAGTTCAGACAGTGTTGGACCCTTCTGTCTTCTAACGTAGGTAAGTCCAGTATTTCACACGCGTCAGGGTATAACAGACATAAGAATAAGAACACCGAGGAACAACCATGACATCACTATTCTCTACTAAATAAGTGGAAAATACGAAATGTATCAGGAAACATTTACAGTCCTTACTGTGAATTGTGCAACAAACTTGAAAATCATCAACATATGTTTTTGGAGTGTCGTAGATTAGACAACTTCTGGAGTAGGATAGAAAATGAAACACATATTGTTATTAAGGATCAAGGAGTGAGAAATAGTAGTGCAAATCTCATAACAGTTGCTAAATACGCAATATCTATTAGAATGGAAAGACGATTATAGAACGAAAGATAATGCATTCCGAATTTTTCTGAACTTGTGTCAAACTTATGTCTGATCCTCAGGTAAGTATGTCTATGCATGATATGTATATGATTTAAGGGCTTTGAAGAATACAATCGTGGAAGAAAACTAAAGGACTGGGACAATCCTTAATGCATTTCGCCATCAGATTTTAAAACAACTTACATCATTGGTCATGAAGCACAGCAGAGGTTTCACGTTTCTTGCAGAATTGTTCGCAACACTGTGTTATTTCACAAAATTTGTAATTGTCTGTGCGCTTTGAAAAATGTGACAAAATGTACTCCTTTCAGTGAGAATCTGGGTCTTCCTGCCTATACTCACGATTGCTGACTTTTGAGTGTTTCTATCATTACTAGTTAGTCGTTAGTATTAAGTACTGATATATAGTACCATAATGACTGTTTAGTTTAGACATCAGTAGTGCCCTGACCTGAACTGTCTGCCAATGTCCACTCCAACGCACGCTTATGTCCGCTACGTAGATTGACCCTACGTACATTGATGCGATACCGGAAGGGCAAGACTGTGTTTAGCTCCCTCAGGAAGTTCCGCATCTTCATCCCACTGTTGTTGCTGACCTCGGACATCTTGGGTACGTCCTTCCGTGTGAGAACGGGGTGGGAGGACTCAGGACACCTGTGTGCTAGAAGCGCAGCACGCAGGTACTGAGTAAACGCATCCCAGTTGTCGAAATATTCTATTATAGCTGTGGCTCCTGATTTGAATACTATTTCTTCGCGATTTCGGTGATTTGTCCAGTCTGGCTCATTTTGCAGGTCCTTTGTGGCATTTTCGTACAAAGGAAGCACCGAGAACGGGTTGCATGTACCGAATACTGCTGTCGCTTCTGGAAAATACTTTGGCATGTTTTGAAACTCCGTGATGATAAGAGCTGCACTGTTGTCTTTTCTCAACAGGGGGCGGTATGTGTCCAAAAGAATGGGGAAGCTTACGTAGTCAGCAAGGTTACTGGTGAAGATGCGATCGAACTGAACATCTACTGGGAGATGTGCTGGTATGCTGAGGCAGTCCGCCAAAATTACATGGAAGGACAGGCGTCCCTGGTTGAACACATCCGCAAATTGCCTTACAACGCCTTCGACGTAGTGAGAGTACATTGTCAGTAGGTTATGACTTTGACTGTTCGCTTTCACTTGGAGGAAGTCCCACTCAGAGAAGGGCAACCCATCTTCGTTAATGCCCGCTGCTGCAATCCCTTCAAGGATGAATCCGTCAGAAGTCGTCAGCAATGAAAAATCAACCGATGGCGAGAAAATGTCAGGTTTCCAGGCTGCCAAGGTAAAGTTGTCGCGGCGGGAGCATTTTCGTCTGGGGTCTGACTGAGGAAGGAGGATTCCGGCCTTGAACCAGTCATCTGCTGACGCGCGATGGCGTGTGGGTATGCTCCGCATAAATGTGCCCACACCATCTGCATTCCTCTGATAGATTCGACGGAGCTGTTCTTGTGGGGTTGTCTGTAGCCTCCGTTCTCCTGAAAGAAGAGACAGCCACAGTTCAAACACTGTCCGAATCTGAGGCACTTGGTCTGCTGCCATGGTTAGTCTTCCGCCACACAGGGTGCCGGAATCTTCAGTGAGTAACAACAGTTCCCGCAGACACTCCTGTGCCATTACGGCCTCTTCCTCCGCGATCTTCACCGAGTACCAAATCTGTGTCAGCTTCCGGGCGACCTCCCCATCTTGTCTGTACTTCCACAGGAAGGATAGGAAGAACACATTCCTGGCCATTATCTGTGGGTCCGAGTCGTTCTGGGCAAAGCGAATACTTCCGTTGAAAGACTTCTTCAGTCCAGCTACCGTGGCCATGACATTTCTAAGGTTGCCAACACCCGCCAAAAGGACCGCCATATTGTCTGGGTATTCTCCTTCATTTTGGTCTATCTTTATTAAGTCCTGAGCGGGAGAGTTCCCCCGATAGTAGGGGAAAACGGTAAGTTTTTGCATGTACCGGTTATAACGGTAGATTTTGCGCAGATCAGTGGCAACCCTTACTATTTTGTTCTGGGTTTCCCGGCATGTCGGTTTGTGACGTGTCCAGTGTTCTTTTTGGCAGGTTTGGTTGCAGTACCAGGCCTTGTCGCAAGAGGAGCATCTCTTGGCAGTTCTGGTCACTCTGGAGCAAGCGGAGCATTGGTGGTGTACAGCACAGTTGGTACACTCCACCTGTGATAGCGTAAAATAGCTCCCAAATAAATACTTTATACCTCTTTCAAGGCAAAGATAAATGATAGAAAATGTTCTCATAAGCAAAATTAGAATACTTTGCATTTTATTCCCCCAAATCATGAGAATCCGTCCTTCCATTTTGACCTTCTATTTAACGTTATTTAACGCTTTCTTTCGGTCTTTCGTTACAACCCCCCCCCCTCTTTCCACTACTGTATTAGGATAATTACAGAAAGACAGACGAACAAATGAAAAGCACACACAAAACATTTGCAAATTCTCCTTGCAAGCGGTGGCAAACAACACTGACCTCATGGCGAAACTTGTCTCTGTCCTGACACGTCCGACTGCAGTATGAGGCGAACTCACACCCCGCACATTTGACACCCTTGGTCCCACACTGGCTGCCACAGCGCCAACATGCACCTAGTCTGCTGTCCATCTACAAAGCGTCACGAGCAAACAATAGACATTTCGCCAACTTTAAACCTTACAATTCTGTACAGGAAATATTTCCAAAAGCCGGACTATACCTCCATATATCATCATACTGTATACTCCTTTGTGTTGAGATGAAGTTAATTCTTTTTAAAAGTGTTATCTAGCAACGCAGTATAACTTTGTGCTAATCTACCTGAATGTCAACTTAAGTAGAATATCAAATTTTACATGAAATGAAGTTGGGGGGGGGCGGCGAATGCTAAATAAATCGTGGTTGTAGCAACAGGTTTGAGGTCGAAATGTACTCCAATAGCGACGTCATTGAATATGCCTCTGACCTTGCTTTTTCACAGTTCCTGTGGGCATCAAACCTCACCTTGCCGTGACACCTGCGTCTTAGATAAAGCCCTTTTCCTTGATAGCAGAAAGTCCTCCAAAAAGTCACAGATAAGGCGTCTTGCCGTCAGATCCTAATATTCCAGACCAGAAAATTTGGACTGAGGAAAATATGGCAATCGATGAACGTTTAGCCCAGCGTGCACTATTAGTAGTCCAGATTTCGACATTAACAGTATAAAAGAGAAGCCCGGGTGTGTTCTTAAGTACGAACTGTTATGACTACATTTCACCAGCGACTGGATTTGCATGACTGGTGTATAAACTCGGGCTCTCTTTTCAGACTTTAGTCAAGCCTAAAGACAAATACGGACTTTGATGTTTCACCGTTGCACCCTTTCAGAGACACCGACTCATGCATACAAGTAAGACAACGTGACACAAAAACACCAGAACGCCATTGTCAGACAGACTGATCATTGCTGTCTATCACAATTAGCAGTTCAATCGATGAGGAAATGTTAATTGGTGGATCCCATAATACGAGATTGTCTACATGATATGTCCGTTGTCATTTGCATTTGTTTGATTTTACATTTCTACGTTTTGACGTATTTGGGCAGGCAAGATTGAATAAGGACCATTCTGCAGAATTCAGGGCACAAAGAAATAAAGTAGATGTGATCGACAAGTCACTCTCTTCTACCCCCTCCTACATGTATTTATTATGGGTTCACCACACCACGAAGTGGTGGTGAACCCATATTGCTTTTTCTGATGTTTCTTCTCCTCCTCCTCCTCCTCCTGCCACTTCTTTAAATTGATTCAACTCCTTCATTTTTGGGCGAAATTACCTGTAATTTCGTATAGAGGTAGAGTGGGTAAATACCCTTAGGCGTTTTTTAAATTTTTTTGATACAAGCTTTTACAATCGTTTTATTTGCTTTTTAGTGGTCCCCATAGGAAAGTACTGTGGGGGCGTACGCGCGTGACGTAATAAGAAAGGAATTCGGGGGAAGGCCCAAATATGGGCATACAAGCAGGTGTGGTCATGTTTGCAGATGTGGCTGTTGATTGGCTGTTGGCTAATTAATTTATTTACTACCATTTCACGTACCAGCGCAGCTGGTCCACGCAGTCTCGGCCGTGGGCCATGATACTCCTGCACCCCCCATGAAACTCCTTCCTCTTCGCCCCCGCCGTTCTGCTTCGCCCCCGCCCCGTTCTGCTTCGCCCCCGCAAAAAATCTGCTTCGCCCCCGTCGTTCCTCTACGCCCCCGGCGCAATTCTGCTTTGCCCCCGTCCTTCTGCTTAGCCCCCAATGGCGGCACAGCTCACAGTCGACACGAAAATCGTCTGCAAAATAACAATAAAGGCTGTGCCGCCAAATTTAAAGTAGCCCATGCTCCGGC